TTTCTTTCTTGTTCCCCATCCCAATCCCTCGTATTCTCCCCCTCCCTGGCTGTGGCAGTTGCTACACTGAAGATTTTTCTGGTACTTCAGCTTGCCTCAGCCCATCATCCCATCTCATGCCATGCTCGTAGAATATCAGTTCCCCTCATGTTTTGTTCAAGGCCTTGAGAAAGGTCAGTCGTATTGCTCCCCTTGATCTTTGCCTACAATCAAAAGAAAGTATTAGGAACATGCCTATATATTCTTTTCTGACACTCATAGTGTCCATGCATATTGGTAGAATATCTTGTACTGCAAAGGCAATTACTAGTACAAAGTGTGCCTTTGAATTGCATATCTCCAACAGTGATACAGTACCCATGCTTGCATAGAAAACACAAGAAACGGGCCGTGGTACGGTGTAAGGGTACATTCCTGCCTTGACACAAATGTCTCAATGCCTGGTTTTTCGAGTCGCGCCTGTAAATTTGCACATTTACGCGTCACAAAGAGTTGGATGTATTGCGACATTTAGCGAGTCAGAGTATTGTACACCTGTCGAGATTCCATTGGTTCCAAACCAGTTAATTCGAGCGCCCGCAGTTTGGCGCCGGGCAGGCAGGTAAAACCAGGTGTAACAAATGAACCAGCCGCGAGTTAGCGAGACCACCAACAAACACAGAGCCACAATGCACCTACAACTACAACCCTTTTCGATGCTGCCCAGGAATGGCGGGTGTGTTTCCCGCGCTAAACTGTCAAGTGGTCCAGTGTCCAGGTGCATGCGGCAGGGCACTCAAATTGACGTGACTTTGATCGCTCAAGCGATTTCCCGGAGGTGACGGGGCCTCGTCCAACTCGTCCGCGACACCAGCGCGTTTGACGCTAACCAGTGTAAAATACGGTTGCATTCGCATTAAGGCGACCCGAGATTGTGACGGTGTACGTTATATGCTGTTTTTACGCGTCACAATACAATTGAGACATTTGTGTCAAGGCATGAATGTACCCTAAAGCATCGACTAGCTGTGCCTCAGCTAGCAACTGTTGCTCCTCTGCTTCACCTCTGAAAAATAGGGAGTGGAGTAGGCAGAAAGAATTGTGTGAAGGCACATGGGGGAGGTGGTGTGGGCGTCAAGGTAACAATGGCAACGGCAAGGGCACATGATGAAAGCATGTATGGTGAGACAGTGATGAGTGCACATGCATGGAAATGTGCACTCATATAGCTAACCCTAAGTTTTGTACCCCCTAAGACAAACCTCACTATAGGCTACAACATTTGACACACCCCCATAGCCTAAGTGAGGGGTGTCTAGCAGAACCACACGAGTACGGTCACAAGACCAGTCCAAGAAACGAAGCTCAGGGTGGATCACAACGTCACCACACAGTCTGAGCACAAACAACAGTGGCCACAAGGCCAGTCCAAGAAGTAACAGAGGTATATAGAAAGCAAAGTAAACAGTACACTCAAGTCTAAGCAACACGAGAACCAGTGTCAACAAGGCCTAACTGCACACAGCACCTCTGGTGGTCACAAGGCGGAAGCGCCTTGGTGAAGATGTCTGCAGTGTTGGCCTCGGACTCCACAAAGTCGAAGCGAGCCTGTCCACGCCTCTGCAACTCTCGCAGAAGAAAGTACCTGACGTGAATGTGCTTCACTCTGCTCTCCAGTCGTGGCTCTCGACAAAGGAGAATAGACGCCTTGTTGTCAGTGAACAAGGTCGGTGCAGAGCTCGGCCGCTCACCAAGGTCGGTGAGCAAGAAGGTCAACCAACGCAGCTCCTGTGCCGCCATGGCACCAGCGTAGATCTCAGCCTCAGCTGTAGAGGTCGAGACCGAAGAGGAGCGCGTGGACCGCCAGGAAACAGCTCCAGAACCCAGGCTGAAACAGTACCCCTGAGTAGACCTGTGAGTCTCAGCGTCGTCAGCGTAAGAGGAGTCACAGTGACCAGTAAGTACGACAGACTGCTGCCCTCCAAGAACTAGCCCCACGCCTGACGTCGTCGCTAGGTACTTCGCCACCCTCACAGCTGCTGTCCAGTGAACAGGACGGTGTCTCCCTGGCGCAACAAAGCGCGCAAGAACGCTGAGAGGGAAGGCGAGGTCCGGGCGAGTACAAGTCATCAGGTACATGAGGCAACCCACAAGCTCTGCGTAGGGACCACTAGGCTCGAACGGCTCGTCAGGAAAGGGTCCAGTGAGTCTGTGGTCAACAGCAAGAGGTGTGCGCTGTACTGTGGAGTGCTGAAGCCCGAACCGCTGAAGGACCTGCTGCACCATGTGCGACTGTGAAAGTGTAATGGTGCGAGCAGCTCTGTCCCTGGTGATCTGCAGGCCAAGGTAGTGGCGCAGCTCACCAAGATCAGTGCAGGTGTGTCTCTTCTGCAGTTCGGACTTCACGTGTGCCAAAGCAACCCTGTCAGGGGTGGCGAAAACAAGGTCGTCAACGTAGACCAGAACAAAGAAAGGTGTGGGGCCACGACGAACGAACAGCGACGGGTCAGCAGAAGACGGCTGGAACCCAAGGTCAGACAGGGTAGAACGCAGGGTGTCGTGCCACTCACGAGGAGCCTGACGAAGACCGTAAACCGGTCGCCTCAGCCTCCACTGGGTCCCAGGAGGGAAAGAGCCAGTGAAGGCAGAGGGACGACGCAACCAGACCTCCTCGTGAAGACTGCCCTGAAGGAAAGCAGTAGAGAAGTCGAGAGAGTGTAACTCGTAGTCTCTCTGTGCTGCTACGTGTAGTAACACCCGAAGAGTGGTCATCTTCGGGGTGGGCGCGAAGGTCTGAAAGAAGTCAACTCCCTCGCGCTGACTGAAACCTCTAGCCACGTAGCGCGCCTTGAAGACCGGAGGAGATCCCGGTGGCCGCTTCACCCTGTAGATCCACATGCCGTCGACTACGTTCGCCCCCGGAGGGGGAACCTCATCGACGTAGGTGCCTGTGGATCTGTAGGAGGCCATCTCTGCGTCCATGGCAGCTCTCCACTGAGAGGCCCAAGGCCCTGACACTGCCTCAGTGTAAGTGCGAGGAGTCGGAATGTCAAGGGCGTCGGGGTCACCCTCAGGGGCGAGGAGCATGGCACAGAGATGAGGGGAAGCGGCCGCCAGGAACTCTAGCTCAAACTGCCTGTCCTCTAGGGCGTCACAGCCAAGGGCAGACACACCCCCGACGGCCAGAGGACTGGAAGGAGGAGCAGCCACAAGAGCGGTGGCGAAGTCAAGGCGGCGGGTAGAGGCAAACTCAGTGACTGCGGCAGTAAGAGCGGACACAGAGGACACAGAGGCGAACCTGAGTGAAGTGAACCTCCTCAGACTCAGGGAGGAGGCTGCTGAGCGCGATGCAGGCCGCAGCGTCACGTGACGTCCAAGCCGTCTGGTCAGCTCGCTGAGTGGCAAAGCGGGCTCTAGCGGCTTCGTCAGGGGCAGGTCCTAAAGGCGTAGGGTCGGGGGGCGCAGGTAGGGCACCAGTAGCGTGCGCCCAGAGGGTCTCGCCTGCCTGGACCTGACTCTCTAACAGACGGCGAGCACGAAGAAGCCAGACGGAAAAATCAAGAGGTCTACCGTCAGCGTCGAAACGAAGCACACGCGGAGTCGCCATAGCGAGAACTAACGCTAGGGATACAGTGGCAGCGGAAGAGCAGGCTAGGGTTAAGACGACGGGCTGGGTTTAGGGGCGAGCCGCTACAGGGGAAAGGGCGGGCCGCTACAGGGGAAAGGGCGGGCCGCTACAGGGGAAAGGGGAAGGGGCGGGCCGTGACGGAGGGAAAGGACGGGCGGGACGCGACGGGGGGGAAAGGGACCCAACGGGGGGGAAAGGACGGGCGGGACGCGACGGGGGGAAAGGGGCACGACGAGGGGAAAGGACGGGCGGGACGCGACGGGGGGAAAGGGACGCGACGAGGGGGAAAGGGCGGGCAGGACGCGACGGGGGGAAAGGGACGCGACGAGGGGGAAAGGGCGGGCAGGACGCGACGGGGGGAAAGGGACGCGACGAGGGGGAAAGGGCGGGCAGGACGCGACGGGGGGAAAGGGACGCGACGAGGGGGAAAGGGCGGGCAGGACGCGACGGGGGGAAAGGGACGCGACGAGGGGGAAAGGGCGGGCAGGACGCGACGGGGGAAAAAGGCGCGACGCGACGGGGGGAATGGGCGGCGACGCGACGGGGGGAACGGGCGCGACACGACGTGGGGGGGGAACGCGACGCGACGGGGGGTAAGGGCGGGCGCTACGGAACGAGGGGAACGGGTGGCGCGGACGGGCGCTAGGATTGGCGCTAGGCTCGGCACTACGCGCGGTAACAACGGAACCGGGACGAATGAGAGCTAGGATCAGGCTCGGGAGGCTCGAACGGAGAACGGAGGAACGGGATCCCACAGGATCCTAACCTAACTGATACCATGTTAAAATGAAGAATGGATGATGCATTGATGTTGGTTGGGGTACATATAGCTAACCCTAAGTTTTGTACCCCTTAAGACAAACCTCACTATAGGCTACAACATTTGACAGGAAACTACATCTCTAAAAAGGTCTGACCCCAACCTGACCCGAATTTGACTTCGATGTCATCTTCGGGTCAGGCGCCCAGGTTTAGCTAGGGTCCCAGGGTCCGTCAAGTTTGGGTCACTCCATCCTGACCCCAACCTCACCTCGCAGCCAACCCAAAGGTGACGCGCAGGTCAACACTGTTCATCCGCGTCGCCAACACCGTATAAACTGATTCGCATACCTGTGCAGTAGGTACAGTAAAATGCGTGTACCTAGGCCCTTATGAATAAACAAAAATACAGAGGTGTAGCAAAATTCTATTGTAAAAGATGCGTTACAGCATTATGTTTAATTACAGCACACAACACAATATAAAACCCACATACAAAGAAAGTCAACGTACAACGCATTTTCCCCTTATCTAGTACAAGCTACAACAAATACAACATTCCACACTCTACAGTATTAGTGACTCTGCAGCTACTAATCATCAGCTAACTTATAAGGCACGTCCAAACACAACGTCAGCAACTCATCTGCATATCAAACACCTGCAGAAAAAAATAGTCAGTAATTAGCATATGTAACAAAAACAGAAAAAAATAGTACATACCACATTGCAGGCCAAACCGTTACTGCCACAATGAACTACCAATCTTTTGTTGGGTAGACGCGCCCTGAACCAACAGCAACATGGACGCAAAAAAAACAAACAAACAAACAAACAAACAAACAATTAAAAGACCGCCACATGTCCTGCCATGTTGGGTAGAGGAACATGAATTTCAAAATATACTTTCGCACCTAAGTAGACGTCGATGGTCACCCACTGCTGCTAGTAGCAGCGTGAGCCATGTGGAAGCCACGAATGGATCCGTTGCTGCGCCAGTGGCGCTGCGTCGAATTTCCCGAGGTGAGACCCTCGTCGCTTCCCAGCATCGCCATCACCGCCACCACACCCAACATAGCCACCCGCCCAACCATTCCCGCGCCCTCGCTCCTTGCCTCCACTTCTGGAAGAGCCTGCGAAAGCGAGAGGCAAGGAGAAGGGCTATCAACCGTTAGAAACTTAATGAAAAAGAGACAAATAAATGTACTCGCCGAAATCAAAGTAGACGCTTTCTTACTTAGTCGTTAGTCACCCACGGCTGCTAGTACCCTCGAATGGAGCCGTTGCTGCCTTTCGTGAGACCTTCGTCGCTCCCCAGGAACGCCATCACCGCCACCCGCCCAACCACCCCCGCGCCATCTCTCCTTGCCACCACCCTTCGCCTCCCTTCCCACCGGCGCTCGATCAGGAGGCGGCAGCTCATTGCTGAACGGTACGAAACACGACCCGATCGAGCCTCATTGCTGCTTGAATATATTTATTAAGTGCTGTGTGCGTACACAATCAGACACAAAAGTCGAGCATCTGCACGACGAAACATGACTCGTTCTTACCTCATCGCTGTCTGATAAATTTCCTAAGTGCAGGGTGCGTAGAAAAGCAGACACAGAAGTCGAGTTGCTGTAAGCAAATGAATATAGGCTCAGCAGAGCAATGCTCAATGGGCTAACTTTGTTACTAAACCAGGTTCATCGCGGTATTACACGGTATACAAGTATTTATCAACGGTACTGGGCTGGTCGAGGTATGCTGAAAGGGTTGTGGAAGAAATTGGACTTGGAATATGTGGTTCTCTGTCACTCGGATGGCAGGTGTGCAGCTTTCGGCACAGCTGGCAGATTACGAGACCTGTGCATGACAGGTGGCGCACATTTACTGCGCTAAACCCATTGAGTTGGCAGTGTTTCCCGTTTCCAGACCAATGGCTGGGCCATAGTTTACGGGGCTCGCCTGTTTCTGGTTCAGGGTGCTCGTGATAGGCTGTTCTGATTCGCGTGTTCACGTTTTGCGATTGCAGGGGCGGTTTTGTAACTTGTTTTGCTCACAGTTCACCCTCGGTGATGCGACGGGTGCTACGGAAATTGTGCGAAGGGCAGGCTTGTAACCAGATTCCACAGCAGTTAAATCGATAGAAGTTTATTGACCTGAACAGTGAATCGAAATGACTGTCCTGCATCATATATATGTATATATATATATAATTTGGTAGCATACATGTAGTTTAGAGAAGTTGGATGTTAGTGTCATACCAGTCATTTACAAAATATTAATATATTCAAAATAATTTTAGCACCGAAAATATGTTACAATATTTACATTTCTCGACATAAGTTGACATATATATCGTACGGCTTATACTTGGTATGACTGTAGCGATGCGTTCTATTGTTCTGCGTTATTTAATCTATTTCTGCATTTTTTCCGTAATCTTGCGATTCATCAATGTTTTCTTTCGACGCGATCCGGGAAATTTCGACGAGCGATTGGCCAATGTCTGCTGTCGAAGCGACGCGAGAAATTCACGAAATTGATTGGTCAATGTTTGTTGCGAAGGCGGTTCGGGTTCGTTTGGCGCCCACACAATGGTATGGTTGGGGTCAAATTTGGGTCAGGCACGATTTTTTTGGCGAAATTTCTCACCTCGAGGTGACCTGCGGGTCACGTAAGGCTGCACTTGACCTGGATGTCACCTTTGGGTGAGGTTCAGGTGACCGAGTAGTCACCTGGGGGTTGTAAATTTCGGGTGGTCAGGCTAGGGTCGGCCACTTTTTGGAGATGTAGAGCGTGGAAGGCGAGGAGTGGGGGAGAAGGGGAGGGCATGAAAAGGAAGGGAAGGGTTGAGAAGGGATGGGGAAGGGTTGAGAAGGGATGGGGAAGGGAAAGGCAGGGCAGGGAGGGAAAGGCAGGGATGGGGAGGGCAGTTGGGAACAGGGCAGAGGGTGGGGGGAAGGAGGGAGGGGGATGGGGGGAAGCAGGGAAGGGGATGGGGGGAAGCAGGGAAGGGGATGGGGGGAAGCAGGGAAGGGGATGGGGGGAAGCAGGGAAGGGGATGGGGGGAAGCAGGGAAGGGGATGGGGGGAAGCAGGGAAGGGGATGGGGGGAAGCAGGGAAGGGGATGGGGGGAAGCAGGGAAGGGGATGGGGGGAAGCAGGGAAGGGGATGGGGGGAAGCAGGGAAGGGGATGGGGGGAAGCAGGGAAGGGGATGGGGGGAGACAGGGAGGGGGATGGGGGGAAGCAGGGAGGGGGATGGGGGGAAGCAGGGAGGGGGATGGAGGGAAGCAGGGAGGGGTATGGGGGGAAGCAGGGAGGGGGATGGAGGGAAGAAGGGAGGGGGATGGGGGGAAGCAGGGAAGGGGATGGGGGGAAGCAGGGAAGGGGATGGGGGGAAGCAGGGAAGGGGATGGGGGGAAGCAGGGAAGGGGATGGGGGGAAGCAGGGAAGGGGATGGGGGGAAGCAGGGAAGGGGATGGGGGGAAGCAGGGAAGGGGATGGGGGGAAGCAGGGAAGGGGATGGGGGGACAGGGCTGGGGAACGGGGAAAGAACGAGGGCGACAGGGAGATAGGGAGACGGGGTTTGCGAGGGGACGAGCGTGATGGGGGGATGAGAGGACGAGGGGATGAGAGGACGGGGGGATGAGTGGACGGGGGGACGAGAGGACGGGGGGACGAGAGGACAGGGGGACGAGAGGACAGGGGACAGGGGGATGAGAGGCCGAGGTAATGAGAGGACGGGGGGATTTTTCGCGGGAGGGGAGGGAGGCCGGCGGGAGGGGGGATTCCTGGGCGACAGGGAGGGCGATGGCAGGGGAAGCGTGGGCGACGGTGGGGGGAAGCGTGGGCGACGGTGGGGGGAAGCGAGGGCGACGGTGGGGGGAAGCGTGGGCGACGGTGGGATTAAGCGTTGGCGACGGTGGGGAAAAGCGTTGGCGACGGTGGGGAAAAGCGTTGGCGACGGTGGGGGGAAGCGTGTGTCAAAATAAGAGACTGGAATGACTGTACTAACAGAAGGATGGATACAAATAGGAAACCCTAATCCAGTGTACCCCCTAAGGTATCACCCACTACAGCCTACAATCATATAAACATATAATGTTTGACACACCCCCATAGGCAAAGTGGGGGAGACCTAGGGGTCACAAGACCAGTCAAGGCAAAGCAAGGCAACAACAAGCTCAGGGTGGATCTCAAGGATTCCACACAAATTCCGAGCACAAGCTAGCGGTCACAAGACCAGTTCACATGCAGGTTTATAACAGAGCCAGAGATACAGTGATCACAACCTAGCAAGAGTAAACATGCAGGTATAGACATATATAGTGATCACAGTACAAGCAAAGTCAAGAGGTAAGCAAGTGAGGTCCAGTAGGCACAAGGCCTAGTAGAGTGCAGAAGCGCTGATGGTCACGAGGCTGAAGCGCCTTGGTGAACACATCAGCAGTGTTGGCCTCAGTGGCCACGTAGCGAATACAAAGCTGACCGCGCTGCTGCAGCTCTCGAGCAAGGAAGTACCGCAGGGCGATGTGCTTCGTTCTGTGCTCCAGTCTGTGCTCCTCACACAAGGCAATGGCAGCCTTGTTGTCGACGTACAGTACTGGAGGAGAACGAGGCCGCTCTCCGAGGTCGGTCAGCAGGTAGGTCAGCCAGCGTAGCTCCTGGGCAGCCATGGCTGTAGCGTAGATCTCAGCCTCGCAACTGGAGCCGAGAACAGAAGACGAGCGTGTAGAGCGCCAAGAAACTGAGCCAGAGCCAAGGCTGAAGGTGTAACCCTGAGATGACCGCTGAGTGGCCTGGTCGTCTGCCCAAGAAGCGTCTGAGTGCCCTGTGAGCACAACTCGGTCTCGCCCTCCAAGCACAAGCCCCATGCCCGACGTACTGCACAAGTAGCGCAACACCCTCTTAGCGGCATCCATGTGCTCCTTCCTGTGACGGCCAGGAGCGACATAGCGTGCAAGGATGCTAAGAGGGTATGCAAGGTCAGGTCGAGTGCAGGTCATCAAGTACATGAGGCAGCCCACAAGCTCTGGATACGGGCCACTCGGCTCTACGGACTCATCCGAAGGCAGAGCTGAGAGCGAGTGACTGGTAGGCAGAGGAGTGGACTGAGGCGAGGAGTACGTGAAGCCAAAGCGCTGGAGAACCTGCTGCACCATGTGTGACTGAGTCAAGGTGATGGTGCGCCGTGCTCTGTCCCGGGTGATCCGCAAGCCAAGATAGCTTGTCAGCTCACCCAGGTCTGTGCACGTGTGTCTCCTCTGCAGCTCCGACTTCACGTAGGCGAGTCCTGCAGTGTCAGCAGTGGCAAAGACCAAGTCGTCGACGTACACGAGGATGTAGAACGGCGGCAGCGAAGTGTCGGTGCGCAGGAACAGCGACGGGTCAGCTGTAGAAGGCGCGAACCCAAGAGCCGCAAGTGTAGTCCTCAGTGTGTCGTGCCACTCACGCGGAGCCTGGCGGAGACCGTAGACCGGCCGCTGAAGCCTCCACTGGGTACCAGGAGGAAACGACCCAGTGAAGCCAGGTGGGCGGCGCAGCCAGATCTCCTCGTGCAGGCTGCCCTGCAAGAAAGCAGTGCTGAAGTCAAGTGAGTGAAGCTCGTAGTCGCGCTGAGCGGCTATGTGCAGCAGCACCCGAAGAGTAGTCATCTTCGGGGTAGGGGAGAAGGTCTGGAAGAAGTCAACTCCCTCTCGCTGACTGAAGCCTCGAGCCACGTAACGCGCCTTGAAGACAGGCGGAGAACCCGGCGGCCACTTCACCCTGAAAATCCACATGCCACTGACGATGTTCGCCCCAGGAGGGGGAACCTCGTCGACGTAGGTGCGTGTGGACTTCCAGGAAGCCATCTCTGCGTCCATAGCTGTCTGCCACTGAGAGGAGTAGGGACCTGCCATCGCCTCTGCGTAAGAGCGCGGGGTCGGGATGTCTGGTGCATCCGGGTCTCCCTCAGGGGCAACTAGCAAGGACACGAGACGGGGCAAGACAGCAGCAAGGCACTGGAACTCCTCCTGTCTGTCCTCAAGGACGTCCGTGCCAAGAGCACACTCACCCCCGACGGACGGAGGACAGACTGACTCAGCAACAAGGCTAGCAGCGTAGTCTAGACGACAGGCAGCAGCAAAGTCAACCAACTCAGCGACCAGAGCAGACGCAGCCGAGGACTCAAAGGTAGGGTCCGCACAGCGTCTCCAGAAGCAGAGGAGACTCCAGCGGCCGGGTCCTCAGGACCAGTAGGAGCTCCAGCGTCCGGGTCCACAGCACCAGCAGCAGCTCCACCGGCCGGGTCCTCAGCACCAGTAGTAGCTCCAACGCCCGGGTCCTCAGCAGCAGCAGCAGCGCCACCGCTCGGGTCCTCAGCTCCAGCAGCAGCTCCACCGTCCGAGTCCTCAGCACCAGCAGCAGCTCCACCGACCGGGTCCTCAGCACCAGCAGCAGCGCCACCGCCCGGGTCCTCAGCTCCAGCAGCAGCTCCAACGTCCGAGTCCTCAGCACCAGCAGCAGCTCCACCAGGCGGGTCCGCAGCACCAGCAGCAGCTCCAACGTTC